AGTTAGCCATGAATCTCTTTTGTACACCACTAGTCAAAGTTCAAAGTCTAAATAAGGAAGTTATTTTTGATAATCAATCATATATACAATCGTACGAGATTAAGAGGATGTTTAGTACGAATCATTCAACGTCCCGAGAGATTTAAATAAATTTATTCCAACGTATATAAGGTAAAGTTAAAGTGAAAATGAGCCCTTTTGACAATACTTTCAGTACTGGTTCTGCATAAAGTAAATAGTTGATTGGTAAAATATTTCTTGATTTGAGTGATGCGTATCTAATAAGTTCTGAAGGTTTATACTTCCAATATGTTAATGATGATGACGTCAGGTAAGGTATTTGAGTGTTTTTGTTGTAACTAGTAATACTAAATGCTGGCCATTTTGAAAATAAAGATTTTAAATAGCTTTCATGTAAACCATGAGTAAAATAATGATGCTTTTTAGATACTGTATCTATGAACCAGTTCGATTTTAAATTGTATATTAATTAAGCCTTAATTGCTTACTATCAATCACGTGACTTTTTTGGGGTTGACTAGGGGGCAAACAAGCGGTTGGCTGGGGGGCAACTAGCGGATGCTAAGTCAAAACATATCAAAATAAGTCCTCAAACTATTGTATTTGACTATTTTCACAACATCAAACCAGAAAACAAGAGATCAAAACAACCTCCAGGATTCTACAAGCCATTAAAAAAGAGCTATTACCGGAAGTGACGTCTATTGATAGCAACCACATCATTAGCATATAACGTAACCTTCATAACTTAGAAACGTATCACTCAAATCTTATACCAGGTTTATAGTCAGTTACTAAGAATCAAGAAGCAAACAATTAGTTAAAATAATAAAAGTGTAACTGACTCTAAGATAGTCTCCCTCGCATCCGTTTTTAGTGTCGGTCGTCACGCAACGTTGCGTGACGACCGACACTAAAAACGGATGCGAGGAAGACTAACTCTAAGAACAAGTCTCAAATTCTCACTTATGGACCCGAACAACAATATTCTTGCCGTTCTGGAATAAGTACACTCCGTCATGAACAGTGCATAACCTTTCATAGTCTAACCCTAAAACAACCGAAATTTTGTCACGCATATAGGGAAATTGGATTGAAATAATATGTCTTTTTATTAGACGATTAGTAACTTTATTTTGATGGTTATTGTTATTGAAAAGTGGTTGCAATATCAAAATGATTGTTCAAAATCTTCAAGAACTATTATCTGAATTAAGACAAGTAAGCCCGTAGCACCATCTGTAACCACTATTTGTAATTATTTGTATTATTTGTTATGTGTACTCATGATCTATGTTTGTTAATAAATCAAATCAAATAAAAAAATTAAAAAAATCAAAATGATTGTTAATTTTTGTCATTTGGCCGCCGTTTGAGCCCCTCAAAGGAACACCGACGGGTGAACCCATACATTTCAACTAAATCAAATTAGCATAATCATAATAGCTCGTATCTTTGTATCTAAACTTCTTTTTGCTAGAACGTTGGCTGAGATATGTAATTGTTGTTGTTCTTTCAGCCTGTGGAGGTTTTGTTTTGTATAAGTCCTGAGAAAATTTTCGATGACATAGGTGAAATGAAGCAAAGGAAAACCTGGACTGAAAAACAAAATTACAAAAATCAGAGATTGATGCCCCATCCACACGTATTCGCAAATTTTTGTGTCCACAATTTTTTTTACGGATACGGGTTGTGTCCACACGTGCCCGCAAATTTTTGTGTCCGTATCCGCAAATTTTACGAAAGCGGATACGTGTGGACGGTGAAAACGATTCGAATACGCTGCGTGTGGACGCAAACATTTTCGTATCCGCAAAAAATAATTTGCGGATACAAAAATTTCCGGATACGTGTGGACGGGGCCTAAATAATAAAATGAATCTTTAAGATCAAACCCTATTAAAATGGACATGCATTCGATGCTATAAAATGCACAGATCCCACATTCATTGTTCTACCTCCCTAGTGACTATTGCTTCGTTGGACAAACTACAATGTTTTTTTATATATATACAGCATGGAACGGACGTAGATGTCTATAATGTCAAAACGAAAACGAATCTTCAAAGCCTGGCAGCAGCAGTAAGTGTGACTCGCGATTGACGTCGTATATTTGCGGGTTTAACCCRCGGAATTCCGAACGCGTCCGCATTTTAACAATTTCCGCGTCCGCATTTTAACAATTTCTCATTAATTTCCAAATTTCCCGAAATTGACGTGCAATAGCGCACTTACACTTACTGCTGCTGAAATTAGTAATATTTAAAAAATACTTCTAACAGTGCTTTTGATACACTAGTATATAGACGAAAA